TTGCACATATGTTGTGTCTGTTATAGCAATGAAAGGCGACACTGTCTCCCAGCTTGGCCTTACAACGTTGCATTTGCTAGAGGTGAAACCCTTTCAAGGATAACTTTGCACGTGACTGCCAATTAAGCAAATGTATCTATCTGGCTATCTAAATCAATAGTATGAATAAATTCGAAGATCATTGTATTATGGAGTTATCTGTTTGTAAAGTCCTGTTTTAACTACGGCTTCTTTCCCCTCTGACAGGCTCTCCTTATAAAAAAATCAAGCTGGTACCGTGGTACATGAGGCAGGTCCATCGCACAACCATTTTTTCAAAATGTTAAAATATGTCTCAACCAAGTTTTTAAATCAACACATTATATGTTAAAGAACCACCCACAATCGCACGTTTGTTTCTGCGTGGCGGAGGGGAAATGAAATAAAACACAGATAAAGGCGAGGATTATTTATTAGTCTTGATCATTATTAATAATGATAATATAGTGTGTACTACACTTACAGCTTGATAAGACTCGCCGGGTTGGCGAGGCGATTTTGGTTTTGGTGGGGGGGGTTCGCTGTTGTTTGTTTTTTGCAACCCATAAGAAAGCTGCTGCTCATTATGAACTGTTGCTTCTTGTAGTATTGTTGTTATGCAAAAGGCTGCCCGTCCGTACTGGAGTGTGCCCGCGGACAATGATCATAATGAACACAACAGGGAGGAAGAAGTTCCGAATTGTTCTTGCCCCGGTTATGAGGAGCCTGCTGGAGCAAGCAGAGTGTCAAACCTCCCCTCGGTGGGGCCGATTAGCTGCTCTATTAGTGAGCGGAGGGGGGACCGCTCTACCGGACATCCGCAGTGACGTTCCGCTTTTCTTCTTTCCCCCTGCTCCCTCCAGACTGGGCGTCGTGATTGACAGGGGTCCATTTAAATACAACCTGCCCCTACCCCACCCCGCCGCGTGCGCGCAGCCTTGTCTCCCAGCCAGTGCCGGGCAGGCGGGGATCCCGCCCAAGCCTTTTGACAGACGCACCC